GCCCAACAATGAAGGGCCCTCCTTCAGAAGACTTCCCTCCCCAAATAAGGCTCTCTGAGAAGATCCCTCCAGTTAAACCTTGCTTTAAGAAGAAGCAGCAAGCACAGAAGAGGCTGGACACGCAAACTTTAATGGCTTTGAGGCCAATCTTTGCCAGCGTGCTGGGAGCTGGGACCTTGGATGGGGTTTTTGTGCCCAGAGGCCAGGGTGGAGGTCATAGTAATTTATGTGAAACTGTGGGGAAAAAAGCTTTGGGACTTAATGCCTCCTGCTCCCAGCCAGACAGCAATGTGGCAGTGCTGATGCCAGCAGTTCCTCATGCGCAGAGACAGATGCCGGAGGCTCATCCGCCTTCTGGGCACTCTGAGCAAGAGGCTCAGGCTGGGGATCAGAGCTTCCCTTCAGAAACCACTCCTGGAACTGCTGCCGAATCCACTAATGAATCATTCCAGGATCACCCCTTGCTCACAGCCTCAAGTGATGCTGCAGCCTGCCCCGTGTTCCTAGACAAGATGCTAGAAGGCTACTCATCTGGTTTATTCCAGGAGAACAACTGCCTCATGCAGTACAGTTTGAACCCAGATGATAAATTCAGTGCTGGGATATTCCAGGACAAAAGTGAGGAGGCATCTCTCGATCTTGTATTTGAGCTCTTGAACCAGCTGCAATACCATACCCATCAGGAGGATGAGATAGAAATCTGTGTGGATTTTCTGCAAGGCACTTGTGTTTATGGCAGTGACTGTCCCAAACATCACACAGTGTTGCCCTACCACTGGCAGGTCAGGAGGACTGCTACACAGACTTGGCAGAGTGTGACCAATGACTCCCAGGAGCATCTGGAAAGACTCTACTGCAACCCAGACAATGACAGGATCAAAGTGAAGTACGGGTAGGTAATTCCATTTATTCATTCATAGAGCTACGGGCATTTAAATAGCAGTTAAAGGAAACTTGAACCAAACGTTGCATTCTGTACATTTGGGGAAAAACTTTGCTTTAAGTTTTCTAAAACATGCCAGCATTTTCTGAAGCCCTCAGTAATATTGTTTGTAGTCTACACTTTATTCGGCCATTTTCAAATTGATATCCTTTCGTTAGTGTTCCATGTTGTGTTTTAAAGAACCAACACTATTCTGATCTTTGACATAATATATCATCAGTGCTGTCTAAATGATATGTAACAGTAAGTGAAAACAGCTTATTTGAGGGGTCAGGAGGGAATGCTTTTTTTTTTTTTTTTTTTTTTCCCCCCCCCCCCCCTCTCTCTCTCTATATCCATGAGTTTACCTATAATCCCACACTCAGTCCCTGGGACTTGATCATCTGAAAGTTCTCCCAAGTCTGACAACCTTGATCATCTTGACAAAAACACCCAGCAGACACGAGTAGGAATATTTCATATGCTTTCTGAGGTCCATGGTCCAATAAGGTCAATAGGAGCTCCCGCTGAAACAAATGACAAGACTCTTGTTTTAGTTGGTTAGTGCTGACTAAGCACATTTTTTTTTCTTGTCTGCTTATTTGCAGACTCAGACTGAAACTCATGGGTTTACTTCTGGAAGGTTTTCTTCTTGATAGAGGAACTACATTTTTTAATAGTGAATGTCAATCTTTATTTTACAGACCTGATGAGGAAATAAACATTGAGGCATATTCTTCACTACTTGCTCTTCAGCCTTTCTCTTACAACCTGTTTATGATCAGAACTAGTCACTTCACCCAGATACATTCCAAGTGCATTTTTCATGATTTCCTTCTAGGCACCTATTAAAATTAAATGATTGCCACATTGCTTGGTGAAGACTATGCAGAATATTTTGGTAGTTTGAAATGTGAGAGGTGTTATTCATTCAAACCTTCTCAAGTGCTCTCTGTCAGCTTTGGTAGTTTCACTTCAGAATAACTTCCTACATGTCAAAAGCCCTAGTTCCCTGTGTGCACTGTTTTCTGCAAATAGCAGATAAGAGAATAAAGATGTCCCAGGTTCAGTTCTCACTTTAGGCTTGATTCTGTTCCCATAGGAGTCGAAGGAGAAGCTCCCTTTGACTTCTATACTGTAGGATCAGACTTTGAAGATGGTCTCGTTGTGGTGAGGTGTGGAAATGATCTATTATATCAAGTCCTTGCTGGTGTAAAAGCAAGAGACACCTCTCCATCATAATACCATGAGTATATGATTATACTTCATGAATCTTTCTACTGGATTATAGGACTGAGGCTGTAAATACAGCATCCTTCTTTTGAGGAAGGAGGCAGATGGAGAACTTGAAGCTCCATGTGTTAGGAGACCCACTAGAGGAAGTCTATTTCATATTGCAGTTTTTCAGATCTTTTCTTATTGCTCTCAGGTGGGATGTGTGGGGCTCTTATGCCCTGCCACATTCCATGAGATTCCACTCATTCTAGGGAGTGAACGTCTTGTAGAGAACTTTTTTTATCTTTGTCTTTCTGCATCCCAGTCTGTGGGTTGCTTTTTCCAACCCTGAAGATCAGTGTTCCCTTTTTCCTTAATGTTTCAGGTCCAGAAACACTTCACTTGCATTCACAAAACTGTCTACATTTTAGGCATCCAGTGCTCACTTGAAGTCCAGTGGAGTATTTCCTTGACTTTGTGTATTGGATTAGTTAGGCTCTAAAACGCTAAGCACTGTGCCAGCCATGTTTTACCCTCCTGTTGAGAATACCCTTGAAGTTAATGACCGAGCCTAGGTGGTTCATACCCTATATTTAAAATGGAACACACTCTCTTTTAATCTTGCTTTCATCTTTTAGGAAATAATTTAGATCCTTTATTGAATTAAGCAGAACAAAAGCCTGTAATTGGCAGATAGGTGGAGTTCACTGTCTTAATTTTAAACTGTTACGACTCTCATTCCTTTTTTAGATGACTTAGTTTTCAGTTTCCAAGAGGCTTTGAAAACTGAAACTAAAGTAGCAAAAATATACATAGAAATAAAGGAAAGCCAATCTAAGTAGTTAAAATTACTTTATGTTTTATCTCCTCCCTTTTTTGTCATACGGACTCTCAAAAGTCTTTATGAGTTGGCTGTTTTAAATCAAGGTGTTGGGCAATTAATTATATATTAAAAAAAATTAAAACCCTTCATAATTACTTTAATCCTCCCACCTCCTGATTTGTAAAACTGGCAGAATAGTTTTACACTTATGATGCAGATTTCCAGTCTGGTGAGTATTTTGACTTCTAGGTACATCAAGTTTCTGTCAGAACTGGTCAGGAAGAAACTTATCAGGATTATTGTCAAACACGTAGTGTTCTGTTACCATGAGTAAAACAAGACGGACAGTATGATCCTGGGAAAACCAGGAATGGTGGGTCAGGACTATACTGGATGTTCTGTTGCCAGTGAGAAACTGTGTTCTTGAAGTACGAAGACAGATTTCTGAAAACACACAATTGGGTCAGTTTTGAACCAATCTACCAGAGTGCTTATTCTTATCCAAAAGCAAAAAGTGATGGGGTAGTATACTGTGGCTATAAAGGAGTTGAAGCAACAGTCCTTTCTAATTGTTAGAGTTCCTCACCAAGCTCCTAGTCTTGTGGTCCTTACTCATCTCATTCTTCCAATTGCCTTTAGTGAGGATCTTGGCCTCAGCCAATACTTTGCGGCCATGGCCCAAAGCAAGATGCAATTTGCAAGTGCCAGTTTCCTTTCCATTAAAAGATTGATGCTATAATATTGTGGAATTAAGATTGAGGAAATTCTGTCCCTTGTGAGGTCCTTCTTAGAGGATGAGTATCAGCAGGAACCTAGAGACAGAACTTATTCAACGCCAAAAGTTGTGCTTTCAAGCAGCAATTTCTGATATCCCGCAAACGATGTTCAAATTTTCATATCGCAGGGAGGAGAAACAAAAGATGTAAGGGTCTCTTCAGGTAGGAGGAAGCTCTCTAACAAGCAGTATCTTCTCATGTCAGGGGGGAAAAAAAAACCCTGAACCTTAGAGTATGGATTCTTTGGGGTCTGTCTGAGTTTTCATGGAGTTTACTTGTGGTCACCGCACCTTGGCTTTCCTTGTATTCCAAGGTGATGTTGTGTTTCCTGGCAACAAGATGCAGATAGTGGCATGTTGAACCTTGCTGAGAGGCTAGCAAACAAGCTAGAGCAGCTCATGGTTCACATGGTTACCACATTATTTGACTAAAGCTGTTAATCTCTTGTGGTCATACTAGCTTTATGGGCCTATCTATGCAGATTGCATACAAGGAAATGTCTGTTCAGCAGTTTGCATGTCCAAGAAAGGCCAAGCAGAAGCCAGCCTCACTAGTAACTAGTGAGTGGTAGTTGTTTGTTCCCCTTGTTTTGAAAACCATTTATAGCATAAAAACTCATTACACTCTGTGTAATGATTGGGCAGAGATTTAAGAGAGTCCACAGTTTGGGGCCAATGGTTCAGTTAGGAAAAAGATCTGCATTAAATGTATTCTTCAGAGAGCTATTGGTAGAAATCTCTCTTCTCATCAGTATTGTCTGTTGTGTTATCCAACAACCAAATGCATATTTATTTTACCCAAGGGAATATGATCTTAAAATGGGAAATATGAGTCTTGCTTAATTAGTTCATTGTAACAAGGATACCTCTAACAATTGGTTACTGCTCTTTTTGGGTTCCAACTGAAACATCATGAAGGAAGCTGTCTCTTCTTTTTGCTCTCTTAAATTTGGTGGCGGGGGCAGAAGTTGTGGCTGCCTGGCTTCACACATGTACACTATTCCAAAAGTAGTGGAGGATATGAATGTCAGCAGGTAGAAAAACACACAAGCACTCAGTTTTCCTTCTACATGTTAGGAAAGGCCCTGGAGGATGTCCAGACTTGGGCTCTGTATTGAGAGAACAATGCCAAGTACCGTTTTTGAGCATGAGAGTGCACAGACTGTGATATTTTAAGATACCCTTCAGTAAGGGAAAATATTTGGCAGCAGAGTTAAGCCAGGTTTTCTTTTCTTTATTTTCCCCCCCCACCCCCCCGTGCTGTTCAAATCATGCATGTGTTTGCTGCAGAAAATAAGGAAAGTTCAAAGGCACTGTGCTAATCAGCTTTTCAAAACTAAATTTATCGTTACTTATGGCATTAGAGTCTGCCTAAAACAGCCAAGTAATGTTCAGCCAACCACCGCCTTCACTTGCATGACCATTCCAACCCCTCCTTGTGTGCCGGGGGATTTCCAGCCCTCCGTTCCATTGCGCTCTTCTCTCCATGTTGTCTCATTCCAAGTCATTCTGACACGGTAGCTATTCGGTCCTTTCCATTTGTTAATGTGACAATACTCCAGAGAAGGACTGTATAGAAATACTCTGAACATTTGGGGGGTGGGGGAGGGAAATGTACCTTAGCAGATGCTCCTAATAGTGTTTTTCCCCTTCTAATATTGGAGTGTTTTCCAACAATTCTAAAGCTACTTGTAGCCAAGTAGAAGCCTTTTTATTTATTCAGGGTCCTCTGGCTGAAGTCTGTTTACTCAAATAATTAGTTATCTTTCTGATCTGCACAGCTGTTGGAATGTATTTGATTACTCCTTATGTGTTATCAATCATACCAGAGAGTGGAGAACAGCTGAAATTTACTGTGCCTTGTGACTTTGTGGTAGTTCTTGAATATACACAGCTGAATGGATTTGAATTAATTTTTAAAAATCCTTTGCTAGGAGAAAAGCAAAACAGACTAAGGAAGAAGTGTGAAGTGATTAAAAAGAAGAAAAAATGTCCCTTGTGCTTTTATAATAATGCATTCCAATGAATTCTTATTTGCCCCTCTTTCACAATTTACATATGAAACAAAACTAATTGGCTTCTATCTATACAGCTCTAGAGGAGTTACAAGGCCTATGTAGGACTGTCAAAGGAATCAGCAGCAATCTCATTTATTTC